TGGCGGCCGCCCCGCCCGCCGGGCGCGGTGCACGCCGGGAGCCGTAGTCCCGGCGAGCCGCCATTTCGCCGGCAGCGTGGGGGCAGCCGCCCGCGGTGACTTTGCGGCATGGAGAGCGGCTTCGGCTCCGACTTCGGCTCCGACTTCGGCTCCGGGGGTGGCGGTGGCGGGAAGCTGGACCCGGGGCTCATCATGGAGCAGGTGAAGGTGCAGATCGCCGTGGCCAACGCACAGGAGCTCTTGCAGGTCAGGAGGGGCCGAGGGGGGGGAGGCTGCCCTGCGGCCCGGGGCAGCCCGGCCCTGCTGCTGCCCCTCAGCAGTGCGGGGACGGGGGGACGCGATAGCGGCGGGGGCTGCCTGCCCGGCTGTCCCCGGCCGGGGCCCGCGGCCCCCCTCACGCCCTCTCTCCGCAGCGCATGACGGACAAGTGCTTTCGGAAGTGCATCGGGAAGCCCGGCGGCGCCCTCGACAACTCGGAGCAGGTGAGCGAGGCCGGGGAGACGCGGGGACCCCCGGGCCACCCCCCCGGGGCGACCGCTGAGGGCTCTCTGTCCCGCAGAAGTGCATCGCCATGTGCATGGACCGGTACATGGACGCCTGGAACACGGTTTCCCGAGCCTACAACTCTCGGCTGCAGCGGGAGAGAGCCAACATGTGATGCGCCCCGGCTCCTTGGACCGGGGAGGGACCATCTGGGGAAGAGACGAGCGGCCAGTCCAGGTGGTTGGGATGAAATCCTGCTGCCTTTCCAGCCCCTGCCGTGGCAGAGCAATAAACCCTCGCTGAACCTTTTGCATCCATTGGCTTTTATTAGCACCAGCCCCAGGAGCGAGTGAATTTTCCAGCCTTGAGAGCCACCGTGAGCTGCTTGGTTTGCTTCATGCCCTTCCCCACGGTCCGGACTGGCCAAGGCATATAGCAGCTTATTAATGCCTGTTGAAAGGGCTGCGAGAGGCAAGGAGCCTTCTGTGGAAAAGGGGGGCCAAGTCAGCAACACAGTCCCCTTGCCCAGGAAGCAAGCATGGACCCAGCCATCAGGTAGTTACCCAGTCCCTTTTCATCAGTGGAAGAGCAGCCGTAAGATGCTCCACGTGCCACACTTGGCTCTTTCTTCCCTTGTATTTGTATAGCTGTGTGTTGGGCTCACCTTTGGGGTCGCCGGCTTTGACTCAGCTCGAGCAGTGTGTTGGGGGCGGGGGTGCTCTTACTAGGTTTGCAGCACAGCCTTGCAAATAGTTGTACAAGTACAGCTGGGGATGAAAAGGGTTGGGAAGTACTTAGGTTGATTTCTTTATAGAATAAAACGTGTTTTGTGGCTGTGATGTTCTGTAACTTCTGGTTTGGCTCTGGCACAGACGTTCCATCTTGCAGCCTACCTTCTAGGCCTCGTTTTTTTGAGGAAGGAGCACTTCTGCAACAGAGGACTTGGGTCTGCTTTGGGGCTGAGCTTTGTATTGTTCTCAGCTTACACACCTCTCCTGGAAAGGTCAGTTTATGCTGTGTCAGCAGTGTGTACAGCAGCTGGAAGAGGAGAGTGTTGGAGGTTAAAAGCACCCATGCCCCTCTAGTGAGATTTTTGAAATCCCTTCTTTTGAAGCTCTTCTATGTTTTATAAAATATTTCACTGTTTGCTGGGGCAGGGAGAGAGACTGGAAGGACAGTGTCTCCTTACCTGCTAGGACATTCAAAGGGATGTGGGAGAACCTGATTTCATTTAATCTCCCAATGTGGTAGCCTCTATGAAGGGACTAAAGTGTTCTCACACAAGGTAAACTATTAGGAGATAACTGGATATTTGGACTAATTGAAACTGAACTGGAGTTTCCTATCCATATTGGGCAGAATGACTACTTGAAAATAAAGTGCTTTCCAGCCACGTTTTCTTAGGAGCTTTTTTACTTTTCTTTATGGCTGTATGAATTTTGTGGTACTGGCTGTGCAGCAGTCTCATCTCATTGATGGGAGCATCCTACAAGTGTTCTAGCCATGGATCTGAACCCATCTTGAGCTGAGCCATGCCTGGAAGCAAGTCTTCCACCTTGCTAGTGCTCTAGCTGGGAAAGTGGTGGATCTCACTGCCAGCTGGGTTGGGAAAGAAGAAACCTCTTGCTATACCAAAATGCAGAGCTTAAGTGCCAAAGACTAGGAAGGGGTTTGGGGTACTAGCTGCTGTTCTGTTTCGGTGGTCAAATCTATGAGGAGATGTCTAAGTCTGCTTAAGATTTGACACGTGAGATCTGCAGCAGGTTTTTTTTTTGTGAACAGAGGTGTCTGTGTGTCTCATGCTGGCTAGTGGGACCTGACTTCCCACTGAAGAAGCTGTATCCTTGGGCCACTATCTCAGCACTTCTTTGAAATTTTCCCACCTAGCTTAACCAGAACAGTGGTCTGTGTGGCTATGCCTTAATCTTTGTCAATTTAACTACCAGTTCCCTTATGCAAAGGGCCTGGGAGCTTGGGGGGTGGGGGAGGTGGCGTGAGAAGCCTGTCCTGATTCTCTAATACAGATGAGGGCCTGTGTGATCCAAGTGTTTTAGTCCTACCTTCTCTTGTGATCAAATGGTGAGCCAGGGGATCATCACTGAGCTTACTAGTACCAAGCATTGAGTGGAAACAGTAGCATACCCTTTCCAAAAGCCATTGCACAACATAACAGCTCCATCAAGGCAGTGAGGTCTGAGGCTTCTGCAAGGGCATAACTCAGCTGGGGCAAAGTTCACTTGTCTCTTGGCTTGGCTTTGGAATGACAGCTCATAGACAGAGGTCAGCCAAACTACATGAATCTCTGGCAGTGCTTCAGGTACCTCTCCAACTAGAAAGGCCACATTTTAACGCGAAGGATGTTTGGCCAGGTCTTAAGATGGGACAGGCCTCATTTATTTATAGAAAATGTCTAGAATTGTACCTGTCTATGCAAAGCAGTTATCAAATGCCCTGGTGTCACAACTGCAGTGGGTCACACAACACTGGCATTTGCTTAATACCTGCAGGCCATCTTCACCACTTTGCAGCATCAAAAAAAAATGTACAATAGCTGAGGGGTTAGTGCATCCTCTGGCAATTACTCCTCTCATTCATTGCCTTCCCTGAGTGGTGAAATGCAGCTTCAGTGCTTGAGGTTCTGCGCAATCCAGCCTTGGACAGCTGTGACTTTGGTGTAGACACCAGGGAAGTATGGCCTGGCACAGCCATAGCCCCAGCTTGTGATTCCTGCTAGAAACCACTTTCCTGAGGGTTCTTTGCATGCCAGGGGCCCACCTGCATCACCCTGCAGAGAGAGGAAAAGGGTTCTGTATCAAGCCAAAGAGGCAGCCCAGCCCCGTCAGCCGTGAGACATATATAGGAGCATTTGCTGTCTTGTTCCCCACCTTCCCAGGAGCCTGCTTGCAAGCTGGAGGACTGCTCAGTGATGTACTTGCATGCACAATCTGAGGTTGGGGTTCTAGAACATGACAGAGTATGTTTGGAGGCACAGTAGGGTCATGAAATGCGCTCCATGGTATCCCTGTGGTCTCTTGCTTGGCATTACCTCTCTGCATGTTTCCCTGACCTGTCACAGGTTGGTGGGGCAAGCAGAATGAGGTGTATGCAGGATGGACTTGGATAATGGCAACAGCCAGTGGAGATGGATGGACAGACAGCTGAGCTAGGGGAGGCAGGGCAAGGCCGTCCAGAGAGAATATAGCCCGGGGACTTTGCACAAGTTTGCTCTGTCCCAACCACAGCATTTGCTGCTCTCACACTCACTGAACAACTGTCGATGGTGCCGTGTGGGAAACCAGCACACACCATCCTGCTGCTGATCTGGACAGGGTAGAACTTTTTGCAGGCCTGGTCTCCGATGATGTTCACTGCTGCTTTTTGCAGATGCTTTGACATGACACCTGAGAAGGCAAGTATCACTGTTAGCTTGGTGCAGAGCACGTGAGAAGCAGCAGCATGTGTAGGAGTAGGGTCTCTGCAGCCTTACTTGCTTGCCAATGGGAGCGACCTGCACTGGGACAGTGAATCAGGCCTGGTTCCTCCCCAGCAGAGCAAGCACAGGAAGGTCCCTTTGGCGTGTAGTTTGTCAGGCAGCTCAGCTGACCAGACAGAAATGGTATCAGGGTGGTCCTTGTACTGCAGGAGCACAGCTGGAGCAGCTGCTACAGGGATGGGCAGCACAGTGGCTGGCATGCAGAAAGCTTGGGAAGGCTGCAAGAGGGCAGAGGTGTAACCAAATGGAGGAGGAGTACAGTGCATGACTGCTGGGGAGGAAATTGTGGTGACACCAGGCCTTGCCCAGGTTGGTATCCCCTGCAGGGTCCAGCCTGGCATGGGGAGTGCTTGGGGCAGTGGAGTGGGAATTGTATATGTTTGGGCTCACAGGGTGGGTGGCACTTAGCTTGGCCATCATGGATGTGAGGGAGCCCTCTCAGCCAGTACCTCCTTCCTTCGTGGAGCCCCAGCCTGTGATGAAGCATCTGGCTCCTTCGCGGAAGATGTGTGAATTGTCTGGGAGACATATAGGTTTGATCGTGTTGCTGAACTTGACGGGCATGTTCAGCTCTAGCAGTGCCACATCGTAGTCCAGGCTATAGACGTTGTAAAAAGGGTGCTTGTAGATACGGAATATTTTCTCCATTTTGCCATCGATGCCACTCAGGAATAGTGTTCCTAGAAAGGCCACCCACATTTTGGGGTCACTGTAACTGCAGAAAGAGAGCAAACCTGGCTGTTAGGAGCATGGCCCCACAAGGAGGACCATTCCTCCAGTTGTGGGGCTGGGATGCACTATGGCCACACCTTGTGAGGCCAGGACCCCTGTCTCCATCACACTGTGGAAATGCCCAGGCTTTGCTCCACTCCTTCCTCTTCATGCTTACCTGTAGGGGCACATCTGTAGCAGGGAGTGCGTGCTTCCAGTGAGGCACAGCATCCCAGCCATGGTGCTGGACTGCGAGGAAGCGGAAGGGCTGGTGGGCTGACGGGAGTGAGGCCAAGAGCCAGCTGGCTTCACTAGCCCATCTCAGACTTACATATCGAAGCAGTGAGCTGCAGAGAGCAGCCATCGGTCAGCAATGAGGACAGCCCCACACTTGTGCTCCTTCTGCCGAAGCCAGAGACTGACTTGCCAGGGCCATTCTCCTCGAGCCGCAGTGCTGCCACCCACGATCTTGCTGAAGGCCAGAGCAGTTGTTAAGCCACAGTCTGGGACAGAAGAAGAGGCACCATGGTTTTAAGTAACCGTAAGTGAAAGGGATATCTGCCCTCCTTCCATAGCCCATGCCATGGGGCAGCCTTCTGGGGAGACATACACAGGGCAGTAGGATGTGATGAATTTCATTCACCAATCTGAGGTGAGGCTGGGCAGACATGGTATGGTTTGGGAAATTTTACTTGTTACCGCAGATCACACCTTCCAGGGATGTGATATGTGAGGAGGGGATGTTTGGATGGACTGGTTGAGCTGTCTCACACAGCAAGGAATGTGCAGTCCAAGGAGCAGTCCCAGGGATGACAGGACATCTTCTGGGCTGCCCTGTTGTGCAGAGCTGTCTTGCTATCTTGTACTAGCAGACTGACTGGCCAGAAGGCCTGTGTGCTGGGAAATGTGTTCTAATGTTTATAGCAGAGGAGAAGAGGCCACATTTTCTGGCAGAAAATTTGGACCCTGCTCATCCAGCTTCATCTTGTTATAGGCTCTGGCAGACCAAGTAGGACCTGGACTACAAGGGGCTGGCCCAGACCCCCAGTGTACAACGTGGGGCCCAAGACAGCCCATGTGAAGTTGGTGGGTTGCATTGGAGGGTCTGGGTAATGTAGAATAAGGCTGGGCGGCAGTCACAGGCTGCAAAGCAGTACTCACCGCAGTTGTGCTCATCAAAGCCGTTGCTGCAGTCAACAATGCCATCACATTCGGGATTTTCTTTTCCAATACAGACCTTGCTGGAACACTTGAAGGTGAAGCTAGTACAAGGCACCACTGGAAGGCAATAACCCATGGCCTGCTCAGTATCCTCTGTTCTGGGGCTGGAGGTCTCCCACCAACATGTCAATAAATCTATCAACAATTTTACCTGGGGTTTGGGTGGGCTTGGCAGGCTCAGTGGTTTCCAGAGCTGTGGAGGTTTCTTTCATGGTTGTGATTGTCTTCATCCCCAGGGTGGTTCTGTTGAATGGACTTGCAGGTGTTGTGCTGGGCTGGCGAGTAAGGATGGCTGCAGTAGAAGTTCTCGTGATGGCTGAACTGGAAGGGGTGCCTGTGCCAGGACTGGGCAACTGTGAGATGGTATCCAGGATCCAGTCTTTGAGTTTGGTAATTCTGGAGTACACACCAGGTTTCGTAGCCTGGGCGCAACCAATTCCCCAGCTCACGATGCCAGCCAGATAAAACACTCCTGGGGTCATCTCACAGGCCAAGGGTCCACCTGAATCTCCCTGAGGAGGAAGCAAGGCAATGGCTGCTCAGCCCAGTCTCCCCAAGACAGGTCTACATGGAGCTGCCCCTCAGCCACATTGGGATGACTTAGCTAGCCCCAAACTCTTCTTTCTTCAGCCCTGTAGGGCTGTCTGCTGCTATGCAGTGTGTGTGCAAGATGTGAGCGTGCAGAGGCTGAAACTGGGGTCAATGGCTCAACCTGGCTGCACAGATACAAGTGGCATTTGTCATGAAAGTTAATAGCTCCTGACAATACTTTTCCACAAATGAAGGACAGCCACTACTACCTACCACTGTCTCGCTGCCACAGGAGGAGACCTGCTTCATCCAGGACTCCAGTCTGGCCAGACAGAGCAGTGGG